AGTAAAATGTTTATCAGGATATCAGCAACATTTTATTAGTTAGCCACTTTTTGATATCTTTTGCAGAAAATGAGATATATAGGCTCAAAGTGGACGATCCGGGTGTCGTTCTATTAGAGGTTTTACGGTATGAGTAAATTTTTGGAAAGAGTACGCGAAAAATTGTAATTTTCAAGTGGTGAATTTTAGAACATTACTTCTTGCTAAAGGCTTCACTCACTATGCTTGTACTCTATGACCGCAGCAATTCCAACAAAAATTGAAAAGAGCACGACGATTGCAGCAAGCATAAAGAAACTTTCGTCCGCGGTAATTTCCAATTCGACAGTTCCTGTGGCTTGAGCGGTCGATTCAAGAGAAAAAATTATGCGAGTTTTATCTCGATAGCAATCCAGCTCCAACATACTTCTCTTGACGTGTGGAGGCAGTGTGACGGTTCCCGACGATTGGAATCCAAGAGATGTGTTCCAATTGCATCGGTGGACCCTCAATTGCACGTCGGACGATGTTTCAAGCGTCAATTCCACAGAAGCGCTGGCTGTTAAGGTTGCGTTAAAAACAAAGAACGCCACGGATTCGGTTGTAATTGAGAATTCGGTTTTTCCGGGTTTTCCGGTGGCCAGTTCTGAAAAACGCGAATGTCTCAAAAATAAGCATTCCACCAGATAAAAAGTGTTTCTCTGTGAGACATTGGGATAAATAGATTTGAAGCATCATGAAGTTAACCAGGGAACCTAACAAACCCAGATTTGGAGGAAAATTTCAGGATAAGTTAAGAATAGCCTATCTGGACATTTCTGAAAATTTTAGAATCCGCCCGCCAGTTTCAGCCGAGTTAGATCAGTTTCAGTACGAAAAATCGCCGTTTCAGTGCAAAAGCCGTGATTTCAATAAGGGTTTTCTCGAATTCTATGACGTTTCAGAGAACGAAATTTGTTGTGTTATACTTAGATTTTGACGAAATTTTATATTTCAAAAATGTCCTTAAAAACAAAAATATTTGTTATTTTTGAATTGTTATTACGATTTCCCAGATTTCTTCAAAAATTGAAAAAATTATATTTTTGAGATAAAGTATGAAATATCAAATTTCAAGTATAACACAAAAAAAATTCACGTTTTGTAACCTCCTAAAAGTGAAAATAATCGTCTTTGAAAACACTGCTTTTGTACTGAAACGTCGATTTTTGGTACTGAAATTGATCTAATTCGGCTGAAACTGGCGGGCGGATTCTAAAAATGTCAGAGATGTCTAGATAGGCAATTTTCCACAGATTCTGAAATGCTCTTCAAAATATGGATTTGTGAGGTGTTGAGGTTCCCTTGTAAAAAATAAACCTGGTTAAACACAAACCTTTGAGCTTTAATCCAGCGATTGGCCTTGTGTTCCAATCATTGGGTCTTAGCCGGAAACCTTGGGACGACGACGTGGGCAACAACACAACCAGTTTGACGACAAGAGCAAGAAGAAGAAGAAGAAGAAGTACTTTCATTTTCCTAAAAAATCTATTTATTCCAGTGCGGACGAGAGAAGGAGAAAGAAGTTTATCAAGGACTCTCAAAATGAAGAAGGACATTCACAAATAGCTGCACAGATGTTCGAAATCAGATCCGACCTTGCCGAAAACAGATTAAAATACACATTTGAGCAAAAAATGTTGAAACAGTACGTTTTTTAAAAATAAAAATACAAAAGTTGGTTTACTGATTAAAACAAACAGAGATCTTGACGGGGTTTGTGACAATTAAAGAAAACGTAATTTTTTTGATGGAACACTTCTCCTTCACTTGTATTTACTTTAAGCTCAATTTTCTTGGTTTTAATGGAAGGAATCTCAAAACTTCAAAGATTTCGAAACTTCAGAACCTTTGAATTTCTTTCTTATGTAAGATCTGAATGAGCTGAAGATAAAACCTGTACATAAAAGAAGGGTCCTTTCACTTCTTAATTCAAACCAGCTTTTTTTGGCTCCTGTGAAAGATATCAAAATGTTGTTCGTTACAGATCTTACGATATTTCGAAGTTTTAAGATTTATTTTTCACGAAGAAATGTAGAGTGGTTTTCCCAAAGCACATATACTTCTAAAAACTGAAAATCTAAAGACTGCACAGTAAGTCTGAACACTGTCACCATAGTGATATGTATAATCATGCTGATTCTAGAAAATCGGTATTTTCTAGAACTCTCACAAAGTCAGATTATGGAAACGATGAGAAAAAGCAACGAAACTCAACAGATGTTAGAAGTTGGGTCCTACAGGACCTCGAATGGAGAGGAAAAGAACAAACGAATGCGAAAATGAGACATTTCTGGTGAATGCTTATAGATCAAGAGGCTGGGAGAGAAAGTGACAATCTTGCACTGATTTTGTAAATGGAATAAAAAATCAGGGCTCAAAGAAAAAAGACAAACAAGATGAGCGATATAAAATATAAGAAAAATGTTTTTTTTGTGATTCAAAGGGCTGGAAAAAGCGTAAATTACCGTAAAACCTGTAATATAGCGCCACGGCGTTCTATTTTTTGGAGGGGTGTTTTAAAATGATGCGAAATAACAAAAGTTGGTTTTTTACTTTACTAACAAGGTACCAAAATGAAAGAATGGTACTGAACTTCTAGATTCCATTGCTAATCTGTTAATTGAACATAAAAACTTTGTTCTGTTACCTGTAAGTACCCTTTAAAGGTGGCGTTGTATTAGAGAGGGGTCTTCTATCACAGATGGCGTTATATTACAGTTTTCACGGTAATTTTTTTTCTATTTCTCGAACTTTAAAATCAAGTGAAACATCCCCGTTTGCTCATCCGTAAGAAGCATCTGAAAATGAATTGGTTGGGAAAACTGCAGCGAATTTGAAAATTTTCTTGGTGTCCTCTCAGAATTCCAGTGAGATTTATCATGTGGCCCAACCTTCTGGATGTATCCTACGATTTTATGGACCCTTTGAATTTTCGATATACCCTTGGACATTGTGCCAGTCTTCTCTGGAAAGATTGGGGTGTTTTGGACCACTCAATACCGGAATCAGAGAATCCTATTATGTATCTTGACTCCACTTTGATTTTTTTTGGAATCAATAAATGATCCGATTTTGCAGTTTTTTTTTCATTTCACAACTGTCCACAAATCATTTTTTTTGGTCTTTATTTCAAAATCCACAAGAAAAACAATGAAGCTTCCATTTGATTCGCATGTTTTGAATACAATATGGCTTTATATTACCGGCACAAGTTTGAAAGAGGTTTTCTCAAAAAGTAAAAGCCAAAAACCGTTGAAAGTCAATAATATATTTGTTTGTGCGTTAGAATTAGTTGGCCTGAAGCGCTCATTCTCAGAGAGCATCTCAGACTCCTGTTTCCTCGATTCCGTTGGTGGCTCTCATAGTGACCAGCTCAACCTCTTCTCTATTCTGGTTTTCAACGAGCCGCACTTTTTTAGGACCTGAAAATTAGTCAAAAGAACATTATTTCTAGATAAAAAATTAACTCACTTTGCTTGTACTCTTGCACTGCTGCAATAGCAGCAAAAAAGAAGAAGAGAAGCACGACGAGCGTTATCATACAGTAAGTTTCGATCTCTTTCTTTTCCATATTGTGGGTTCCTGTGGCTGAAAGTATCCTAGAGTTAAAAAAATCAACCCTGGATAAACACTAACCATTGAGTTCTTCAGCTTCTGCTTGAGTTGTGTTTCTTGGGACGACGGGATGAGCTTGGGACGACGAAGTCTTGGGACGACGGGGTGATTCTTGGGACGACGACGAGAGCGAGACGATGACGAGAGCGAAAAAGAGCAGTACTTTCATTTTTCTAAAAATTCAATTAATTCCAGTGCGCACAAGATCAACGAGAAAGGGAAAAGAAGTTTATCAACGACTCTCAAAATGAAAAACAGCATTCACAATAGCAGCGCAGATGTTATCATCAAGAGACAATGATCCAAACTCTTTGGATCTAAAATTTCTTCCTAGTTTGATTGATAACATGATTAATTTTATGGTACAAAATTTGGTTTTCTGATTAAGACGACATCCCTGATAAATTCTCGAAGTCATTAGATGAAGAGTCACAAAAAATCATTTAACGGTGAAAAAATATAATCGTTACGTTCTCTGTGGCAACTAAAGATACTGCATTTCTTTTGACAAAACACTAGTCCTTCACTTGTACTTCAAGCTCGATTTCCTTTGTTTTCATGTGAGATATCTCAAAGCGTTTGTATATAATTTCGAAATTTCTGAAACTTTGAATTTCTTTTTTTCGAAAGTCCTAAAGTTGCATTATCTGAAATTTTGAAGAACGTAAAACATGAAAGAAGCGCCCCTAACTTCTAAATTTTAGCCAGCTTTCGGCTCCAGTTAAAAATATCAAAATTTTGTTCGTTACAGATCTTTTGATATTTCGAAATGTTGTGTCTCCTGGTGGCGGCATTGTGTGAACCACCAGCCAGACAGTATGTGAGTAGTAGATGAATAAGGACTTTATTCAGTGAATAGGGGACAACAGAATACTTTGGGGCAGGAGAGAGAGTATCAGAATGATCAGCGCCTCTATCTAGGAGTTCTGACCAAGGGAACAAATAGTTACGCGCGTGATGACAATTAGCACAAACAGTGGTTATTGCGCGCGCCTACTTTGGGTAGATCAAACTAAGGCGGATATTAAACTTATAAAACTAATGAAGGTTTGCATAGTCTGCAACACCTCCCCTTTTAACTATGATGAACATACAAAGAATGAACTAGACTAAAAGAGATCCTAGAAATACTAACAATTCTTAAACTAAAGTTTGGGGCATTCCTAGATTAATGATACGATTTCTTATTCGGCTTCATGACGAACTTTGGTGGTGGTTTGACGGTACGTGTAGATTTCCGGATGGGTTTTGGAGATGGTGCTGTGGGACTTCCAGGAAGTATTGGCGCTGGAGTCGGTGGTGAACGGTCGGGCCAGGTTGTTGACAACGGTGTCCAATCGATAGCGTCCATTGTGTCCATAGTGTCGAGTGGAACATCGAACGAAGTTGGAGTGTCACGACGGCGCAGTTGATTGGTGTGTCTAATCCAGAAGTTGTTGTTTTCCACAGTGACGCGGTACATTGTACGCCCAATCCGACGTTGAATAGTCCCTGGAATCCAAGTGGTAGTATTTATGCTACGGTAGTCTTTAACATAAACCTTATCTCCCACGTTGAAGTTGCGGCAACGTGCACCATGCTGGTTGTTGAACTGCTTCTCCATCTCTGTGTCGTGCGAGTTGGGAAGTTGGTCGGTTGGGAGAAGTTGATCCAGGAATGTACGGATCTTCCGGCCAATGAAGTTCTCAGCGGGTGATGAGCCATTTGGACTGGCGGTACAAGGCGAAGAGCGATAGCTCTGAAGGAAAAGATACGAGGAAGCATCTGTATTTCCCTCCCCCTTTAACTTGCCTAATGCCCTTTTAAGGGTATCCACAAAACGTTCTGCCTGTCCATTTGATTGTGGATGGAATGGCGGGGACCGAGTGTGTTGGATTCCTCGGTCTTTGCAGAAGTCGTGGAATTGAGCAGATGTGAATTGTGTTCCATTATCGGTCACCAGTGTCTCCGGATCTCCGAACTGTGCAAACATCTTTCGCAAAATGTTGATGGTTGCCGCTGATGTAATGGATGTGGTTGGAACAATTTCTGGCCATTTTGAGAAGGAATCAACAACTACTAGATAATAGGTTCCTTCGACAGGTCCGGCGTAATCCACGTGTACACGTTGCCATGGCTTTGTGGAAATAGGCCAAGAGCATAAAGTGTTCTTGATGGGATTCTTCGACACTGCCGCACACTGATCACAGCTTCTGACGATGTTCTCAATGTCTTTGTCGATTGACGGCCAGTAAACAAGAGTTCGAGCCAACTGTTTCATTCTCACCATTCCAGTGTGAGCACGATGGAGCATTTTGAGCACACGGGCTCTGAGTGATACTGGGATGACGATTCGATCGTTGAACATCAGACAGTCAGATACGATGGATAGTTGATCTCGCCGGTTGTGAAAAAAAACGATTTGTGAGCTTTTATCAATATTATTTGGCCACGAACCTGAGGTTGTGTACTCGTACACTTCTGCCAAAAGTGTATCCTTTTTGGAATAGTCTTTGACCATTTCAGCTGTCACCGGCAATTGTTCACACGTGTTGACTAGATTTGTAATCACGTCCATTTCGACTTGGGCAATGACTCGATCTTCACATTCCTTCTGTTGGATTTGTTCGGAAATGAGTCTTGAGAGGGCATCAGCTTGTCCAAAGTCGTGAGTATTGACGTACTCGATGGTGAAGTCGTAATTTACAAGATTGTGGCCCAACGTTGGAGTCTATTTGCACTGTAAATAGGAATACCTTTTTTCTCTCCGAAGATCGAAAGGAGCGGCTTGTGGTCCGTTTTCAGTGTGAAATGTCGACCATGAATAAACTTGTGGAACTTCGTGACGGCCGTGATGAGTCCAAATACTTCTTTTTCGATTTGACTGTAGTTGCGCTGTGGTGCAGTGAGAGCCTTACTGATGTGGTATATGGCTTTTTCAGACCCATCTGGAAAACGATGAGAGATCACTGCTCCGATCCCATATTGACAAGCGTCGGCAGCGACTATTATTGGCAGTTTCGGATCGTAGTGTGTGAGAAGAAGATCCGATTGGAGCATTTGTTTAATGTTGTCAAACGATGATTGGCATTCAGAAGTCCATTTGAATTCAGCATCCTTCTTAGTTAATGCATCCAGTGGTGGACGGAATTTGAATAATTCCTTAATGAAGGTGCCATAGAACTGTATGAGTCCTAGAAATGAGCGGACTTGACTGTCGTTTTTCGGTTCAGGCATCTGCTGAATCGCAGTCACCTTTTCGGGATCCGGTCGTCTGCCATCTTTGTCGATGCAGAATCCGAGGAATGTGATTCTCGGCATTAGGAATGTGCATTTTTCCAGTCTTACGCGGAATCCATAGTCGTCGATTCGCTTGAACACTGATTTCAGTCGTGAATTGTGCTCTTCGATTGTCGACCCGGTTATGATGATGTCATCAAGGTAGACCGCGGCTCCGTCCAGTCCAGTGATCATTGCATCCATGACTTGTTGAAAACATCCTGGAGCAGATTTGACCCCGAATGGCAGTCGATTGTAGCTGAACAAGCCTCGATGTGTATTGATACAGAGCATCTGTTTGGCTTGGTCGTCGATTTCAATCTGTAAATAGGCTTCGGCCAAATCTATTTGAGAAAAATACTTCCCACCGTTTAAAGTAGCGAATATGTCGTCTGCAGTTGGCAAGGGATGCTGATGCTGTTGGATTGAATCGTTGAGCCCGGTAGAGAAATCTGAGCACATCCGAATCGATCCATTCTTCTTTTTGACAAGAACTATCGGCGCTGCCCATTCCGAATGATCCACTGGAGAGATAACACCTGACTGCTGTAGACGTTCCAACTCCTCTGATACTGTGGTCAATGCTGCGAATGGGACTGGTCGTGCTTTACGGAACACTGGTTGTGCCCCTGGTTTCAGCAGAATAGAAGCTTTAGTTTTGGTACATTTACCGAGCCCTGGTTGGAAAACATTGTTGAATTCCTTTTCCAAATTTGACTTCAGTTGTTCGCGGGTGTTGTCCAGGTAGTCGCATGCTGATCCAACATCGGAACTTACTGCGCAGATTTGTTGATTTAGGGTTTTCCAGAGCGTAGGATCCTTGGAGATCCAGTCGGTTCCGAGGAGTGTACCCGTTTCGGCGACATGTGCTTGTCCCGAAGCAACGTTTCCGTTTATGACGAAATTGCATTGGAAAGATCCTCTGACCTTTATCGGTTGATGATTTGCTGATTTGACTTGGATTGTGGGTGCTTGTAGTTGAGGGCGACCCAGTCGATTCCAGTCTTTTGTACTGATCAAAGTGACGTCGGCTCCCGTATCCATCTGCATCTGGATCTTTGTTCCATTGATTGTGACGATACGGTAGATACGAGATGGTTCGAAAGTGGATGCGCTTCTAACCATCACCGACTTGATCCTGTTGTTTTTGCCTTTTTGATCTGTTTCTCGCTTTTTGGTTCTGCAAAATTTTGCGATATGACCATCTTTTTTACATAGATGACATGTGACCTGCTTTTGGCACTCCTTTGCCCAGTGATTACCGCCGCATTTGTAGCATGGTGACGGTGGAGCCTTCTGCGGTTTATCCCTCTTGGTTTCCTTTGTGCTTATGGCGTTGATCTCTGATGACTTTGGTTCCAGTTTGCATACGCTTTTGGAGTCAGCTCGCACATCCAGAAGCCGTTTGATATTCTGCTCCAATTCTAACAGTGTACATTCTGGTTTCGCTTCCATAACTTGGAGAGCCTTTGTTCGGATGTCGGAGTAAGTGTTATCTCGTAATCCATTTATCCAGACCATACAGCATACTTGATCATCAGTCATCTTCTTGAATTCGGACGATGTGAATTTTCTGAGGACCTGTCCAGTATACTCTTCAATTGCTCCTCCAAAATATTCCGTGCGGAGGAAATCTTGGCGTTTCCGGAAAATCGATGATGTCGATTTGAATGTCTCTCGAAGTTTGCTGATGAGCTCCGCAAAGTTGAGCTCGTTCGGGAGTTTCGGTAGGATACGATTTGTGAAGTGAGAGTACTCTTTCGAGCTAAGTTTGGACAGAATTACCCTTGATTTCTCACCTTCTTCTAGAGATTCACCATCCTTAGTCAGGACATCCTCATATCGAGCGTACCACGTGTCGAAGGTTTGTTCGTCGTCTGGATCATAGGTGAAGATTGGAATCCGTTTTGATATCGATTCCACTAGAAGATTGTGTCCACTGGTGGGTGTAGTTGTCAACGGAGCGTTGCCGATGCTTGAGCGAGTTTTGCGAAGGTGTTGACTAGCAAACCGATTTGTTTCGTGAGATCCGCCAATTCCGTAGCCTGATCGCCAGTTGTTGTGTCTCCTGGTAGCGGCATTGTGTGAACCACCAGCCAGACAGTATGTGAGTAGTAGATGAATAAGGACTTTATTCAGTGAATAGGGGACAACAGAATACTTTGGGGCAGGAGAGAGAGTATCAGAATGATCAGCGCCTCTATCTAGGAGTTCTGACCAAGGGAACAAATAGTTACGCGCGTGATGACAATTAGCACAAACAGTGGTTATTGCGCGCGCCTACTTTGGGTAGATCAAACTAAGGCGGATATTAAACTTATAAAACTAATGAAGGTTTGCATAGTCTGCAACACGAAATTTTAAGATTTATTTTTCACGAAGAAATGTAGAGTGGTTTTCCCAAAGCACATATACTTCTAAAAACTGAAAATCTAAAGACTGCACAGTAAGTCTGAACACTGTCACCATAGTGATATGTATAATCATGCTTATTCTAGAAAATCGGTATCTTCTAGAACTCTCACAAAAAAGTCAGATTATGGAAACAATGAGAAAAAGCAACGAAACTCAACAGATGTTAGAAGTTGGGTCCTACAGGACTTCGAATGGAGAGGAAAAGAACAAACGAATGCGAAAATGAGACATTTCTGGAGAAGGCTTATAGATCAAGAGACTGAGAGAGAAAGAGACAATATCTGAGTTGGCGATATTTAAAACCCATCAGGACAAATGGGTTTTTCATATTTTTTAAAATTATCAGCTGGAAACTGATCATCACAATATCAGAAGTGTTTCGTCTGCTGAAACACTTATGATATTTTTGAGAAAAATCGAGATAACTGAGCTCGAACTGGACAGTGTCCGTTACAGACCTTACGGTATTTCAAAATTCTATGATCGAAGAAATGTAGAGTGGTTTTCCCAAAGCATATATATTTCTTAAGACTGAATATCTGGCGACTCTGAAGAGGAATGCCCGAAAACAGTGCGCAGAGCGTCTGAGCACCGTCAATACAGTGGTAATCATAATCTAGTTGATTTGAGAAAAGCAGAACTCCAGAACCCTCACAAAGTCGGGCTAGGGAAACAATAAAAAAGCAAGGAAACTCAACAGATGTTAGAAGTTGGGTCCTACAGGACCTCGAATGGAGAGGAAAAGAACAAACGAATGCGAAATGAGACATTTCTGGTGAATGCTTATAGATCAAGAGACTGAGAGAGAAAGAGACAATATCTGAGTTGGCGATATTTAAAACTCATCAGGACAAATGGGTTTTTCATATTTTCTCATGTTAAACAGGATGAGATATTTCATCGAAAACAACAAATTGACGGAAAATAGTTTAGTTTCAAGAGAAAAATTACAAGCCAAAAGTGGCCGACGCCATTGGGCCGAAAGGTATATCTAGAAAAATTGATTTTTTCGCCTTGCAATAATTTTGGAAAAGGTGGAAAAGACTCGGGGTTAGACAAAATTAAATTTTGTTCGATAATGTATAATTATAATTATTCATTTTCAAACGGTTTCACACGGTACGATAATGTGAATCAAATGCAAATGTTCTGTTTGCTATCCTTAAATCGCATTATGAGAATATATTCGAGAATAATACATGGAGAGCACATCCAATTTGTGGGTTACGCTGTTCAAAAGGTACATTAATTCCGGAGGTTCAGAATCCTAGTACAATGTACCTTTAAAACACCTCCTGGGTGTATCCTTTTATCCTACGGGCCCTTTGAAATTTCAATGTGCCCTTGGATCAGCATCTATGCAAGGGTGATGATATTTTTCATACTGGCAACGGGCCGAGCCGGACCGGGCCAAAGCGACAATTTTCCCTGCCCGGCGCTGCCCGCCGGCACACTCTTTTTCAGTAAAAAAAATTCCAATAAAAAAATGGGATATTTTTTGAGTTAAAGAAGAAAAAAAATTAAATAATTTTTGAAAGTTATCAAAGTAGAAAGTAGTCAAAAAATTTAAAGTTTTTGATTAAATTTTCAAAAAAAAAATTATTCAGCTTCTGTACAAACAGCAGGCCGGCTCGGCACGCAGAAATTCTTGGCGGGCCGCGTAGCGGGCCGGCCCGAAATTTTGCAAGTTTGATATTTTATGATTATTTAATCTTTTTTCCCATCAAACATTTTCTTTGTCATTTTACAACTCATGATAAACCCTTTTTTGTTTAAGATCCATAAAAAAGTAAACTTTTAGCTGGATTTGCATATTTTGAATGGGACTATAAAACTACACTTGACATCCAGAAAAATATATATAATTTCGTCTTTCTTTGTTTCGTCACGTTTTTCCTGGTGATCCTTGTGGCTTTCGTGGTCGATATGTTTCCGGACTATAGGTCCACTCCGTTTTCTTGGTGAAGGGGTGAATTAAAAGTGATGAGTCCATGTACAGACAACCAATCATGTTTTTCCGGCTCAAAACATCATGAGAACTCGGAAGTTGTGACAATTTTTATGTATCCTTCCGAAGAACACAACTACAAAACGTTTCATTTCTCATTTCAAAACCATATTCCCAACTGACTTTTTTATCTTCTCATTATTTAGATTTTCGAACTGTCAATACGTAGTCCTTCCCATGGGAGCTAATAATTGCTAGTAAAAAAATAAGTTGTTTTCGAACCACGGATTTTGCGGTAACTCCGCTGACTATCCACTGAAACACAGACACGTCCGCTTACACAGAAGGCACAGGTGATTCGCGAACAATCCGTTACGGACGCTCAGCGTTCTCNANGGTCTTTAAACTCAAGTTTTGATTCTTACATTATTGATTGTTTGGAGANNAGCAACGTCATCTGGAGGGAAAATAATTTTACACTGTCAATGAGATAAAACGGCTTTTTGTGTGTTATTCATGAATTAAAAAAAGGACAGTTACGTTCCTTCCAACCTAATAT